ATTCTCTTGTCCTAACACTTTTGCATAGTACTGTATTTGGTTTGAAAATTCATTGTACATGTAAATTTACAAAGAAAAAACTATGCACAGTAAAATAGTTTAAAGCATTAATGAAAAGCCACAAAATATCTTTTGTTTATTGTTAACATGAATTATGCTTGTTGTGCAACTTTATTACTTAGAATATTTTAGTGTATACTGCATTTACTTATCAAAAATGTTACATCTTTTTTATCATTAAATGTAAGACAATACAATATGTTTCTTTTAACTTTGGCTGTTTTATAAGTGTTTATGCATTTGTTCATCTTAGACCACAACTTTTAACTTTCATTTAAACCAATTTTTTATATATTTGTATCTATTGCACTGTTACTATCTTGATCAGTATAATTTTTCAAATCAAATTAAAAGAAGGAACACAATTTTACAAATAATCAGGGAAATATTTAACTCTCTAATTAAAGGTTTAGGTAAATTACACTTGTCACTGATTTTTCCCTTGGTGTGTGGTATATGAATATATCACAGGTTTCTATCTTCTGGCAGTGTTATAATATTTATTGCTTAATATGACATTGTATAAGAATGTTGACAGCAGTATCCTTCAGTGGGTTTTCAGATGATATCTAGAGGTTATGGACCAACATAAATTGTAATGAGAAAAACCGGTTGTGGGTAGAGCATATCACTCTGTGTAAATATGAGGTTTCTTTCAAACTGAGGAACCTTGGATTTGGATATATGTTGTGGAACATCATTGAAGATGGTATAGAAGAACTAGGATGTCAGTTGTCAATCCAATGATCTGGTGAAAGCTAGGGTCCAATGTCACTAAACTGTGTTAAGTGTATAATAAAGATTGTTCCTTTTGTTTGTCACTTTTTGTCCAGTCTCATTATTTCATTTAACATTAACCCAGTTAGTAAGAGATTTAATACTACTCTGTAATTGATATCTTGAGTGAATCTCCTGCTATTTAGTGAACCTTTTTGATAACTAATGAATATTCAGTTTACCTGAATATACCACAGAGTGGATAGATAGGGGGAAAACTTTGGTGCTGTAACTGCAAGATATTATTGTTACAGAGTTGGTTGTATCTTTACTTAAAATCCTTTTCTACTAGCTTCTAAAAGGCTTTGTGTTTGAGGAAATGTGTTTTTCACAACTCAAAGGGCTTACGAACAAGAGATAGAATGAGCCACTGAAGAAAGATGTTTGTCTGAGGGTGTTGTTGGGTCTTGTAGAAATCCTCTCCTGGAATTAGAACTTTTGGTGACAATGCAAAGTTCCATGACTTCTATGGCAGCAATGAGAGGAACTGCCAGAATCTGATGTACCCAATATGCCTAATCAAGTTCTTCCCCTTAGAATCAACCTCAGTGTTAAGATAACACTGAATGAGTATTGTTGCAGTAATGTGTTATTTACTGAGTCTGAGACAGGATGAGACAGTCTGTACATGACTCCCAGACTTATACCAGCCAGAATGTCTCAAAACCATCTGGAAATGAAGTAAGACTGAAGACTGTTGGTTAACCTGAATGACAAAATGAGTTTTTCATTGTGCAATGGTGAGCCTCCCAGATCTAGGAGATATATTGCCTATCTAGACATGACCCATAAAGCAGCTTAGGTGAAGCAGGAATGACAGAAGAGCTGCCTAGAGCAACTCATCATTCCGCCATCATAGATCAGAGACATTTATCAGTGTGTCAGGGTCTTCGAGAGCTCATACCCACACTTGTAGTCCTAATGTTTAAGTCACTTTAGCCTAGAGCTGGTTGAGGCTTTTGGGTAGAAAGGCTTATGATACTCTCACACATCCTTGTGAGGAAGGCTAAGCAAATTTCTCTCCCCAGTATTTAAGGGTATAGCCAAGAAAGGTGCAGACCATTGCCTTAATTATTTCAAACAGGTTTACTGTCTGGAAGGAAAACAGATTCAAGCACAAGTAGTACAGTATCAGCATCTCTGTGGTTCAGTGCTCGACTCAATCAAGCATTTGGATATGGAGGAAAGAGCTGAGGGTACTTGATTAGCTGTTCATGGTGAGCCAGATAAGAAATTGCTGAATTTAGAGATAAGAGACAGCATTGAAAGTCGACTGAACCAACACTGCCAGCCTCCTGATCAGTATGGCAGCTAGGATGATCATCAGGTCAAGCACTTGATTATTTAAAGGAAATTTTGACCCTTGTTTTCCATGCTCTGAAGTGATGTTCACCACAAAGTATTTACATTACATTATGTGATTTTCACTTGATTACCATGAAGCTAAGAAATCAACAGTTTGTTGAAGATTCAGAAATGGTGTTGTGATCCTTACTTTTTGAGTTACCAAGTGATTTTCCAGAGTATTTTGCAAAAATAATTTGCCTGATTTAGCAGAGTAGTGAGAGCTCCATGAAGAATAATGCATCATCTTTGCTAGATCTGTATTACTTGTACACCTGTGAGCACATGTAGAACTTGTTCACATGCAGTGAAGAAGTTGTGTATTTTTTTCAGTGTATATTGATAAAAAAAATTATGAAATAGTATAAGTAATTAATCCTGACTTACAAGAACTTTTAGCTGAAAAGTCTTAATTCAGCCATGCCAATCTGTGATTATTCATTTCATGATACCTAAAATGATAAACGCTCAAGTTTGATGGCTTGAAGGTGGCAATACCTTACTAAACAAAAGATACACACAATAACTGTGAAAGGTAACTGAAGGCAGTTACAATGTAATTTGGGTGGGAGCAGGAGACAGTGTGTTGAAAAAAGCTATTAGTGTATGTGATGGCATGTAATAGAGATGTATGTGGCCTTGCAAAGTCATTCATGATTGTTGTATAACACAAATGAATCAAATACATAATAAACACTATTATTATGAGAATTATATGATTGTGTTCAATTAAAATATTT